TTGCCATATAAGACAACGTCGCCATAGTAACCACAACAAACTCGTTACCAGTTCATTGCATCACATATCGATCGGCGCGCCTATAGCCGTTTCACCGCCCTCTATATAAGCGCCCTGCTTTAGACCTAATAAAACGCGACCTGCTAGTTTTTTAAATGGCTTCAAAAACGTTTGCATAATAAGTAAAATCTTTATATAAAAACCTTTATATAAAAATCTTTATATAAAAATCTTTATATAAAAATCTTTATATAGTTTGCATAACAATGGTCTTTTGTTAAAGTGTTCTTTAGCTGGTATAAAGACGTATGCACGTGACTAATTTCTTACTCAAGATTGGATAATTGCTTCATGAATTATTAATGAGTTTTTGAATTACCGATAATCACCTCGCCTTCGGCGAATAATTATTAAATAGTCTCAGTACTACGTAGTTACTAATAATAATAATCTCAAAAAAATAATAATCTCATAATAAATAATAATCTAATGTAATAATCTCAGTGCTGAATTATCCCACAATAATAATCTCCATAATAATAATAATCTTATTAAAAAAATGCCCCATTAAATAATCTCAGTACTCACCTGGACGAAGTACCAAACGCTGTGAGCAGAGCTGAGATGATACCTTTAAAATGTTTTAGTGGGTTTGCACGTACAAGGACAATGTACAAAACTGGATAGAAGATAGCTGCTTGAATAAAATTGCCAACAGTATTGGTTAACACAAAAAGACCCATAGCTCTGAAAAGCAAAGTGATATCACTTGCTTCCACGATATTTCCTGCAATTACACTGCAAATTCCAACAGGGGCCACCCTGTAAAACAATATCAAATAATCGAGTTGATTGAAGCTCTTAGAATTTTAATAAGCTATATTCACTATAGAATTCATAGGAGAACAGGTCTAGAAAACGAAACGTAAAATCAGACTAAATTCCCATTTTTAAGCCCACGCATACTTGGGCCAACGGTAATTGGCTACTGAGTACTTTTGTTGTAGTGTCGCTGAACAGGTGAGAATTTTGCGCTTGCGCTAAAATTCACGCGGTTAACAGAAAAATTCCTTATCAAAAATACTTTGATTAGTAAATTAAGAGAGCTTTGAAGAATCATTTAGAGTCTTGTTTTCAGGCTCTCGACTAGATATTTTTTCAATTTTCAGTTGAAAATTTAGCTTTTTCCTATTTTTAGCAAAATCACGATTTGTTTTTAAGGATTTAATCATAAATAAACTTTCTTATTATTATAATTATTATTATTATTATTTATTATTATTATTATTATTATTATTATTATTATTATTATTATTATTATTATTATTATTATTAGTCTTTAATGAAACAGAAGATAAAAATACATATCTTAAGTTACAATTCATATTACAGTATATGCAT